ACTCTTAGGTTACTGATTGTTAGTTATTACTGTTAGTACAGGATAGTGTATGAATTAGTATTCACCTTTGTTGCCGTTAACCCTTATTTTCCTCCCAGTGTCTTTCTTTTCTTGATCATTTTGTGCTGATCTCCTTCTTATTGTATATTGTCTTCCTTTAACCCAAGTTAATCCGTGTCTACCTTCTAGTTAGTGGTTGACTCTCTTTTCCCCTCCACCCCTGTTGTTGTCATTGTAATGTGCCGTCGAGTCGGACCTGACTCATAGCGACCCCCTCCCTGGGTTTCTGAGGCAGTATCACTATGGAAGTAGATTGCCCCATCTTCCTTCCGAGGAGTGGCTGGTGGGCCCACCCTTAGTAACCATTAAATATTTTGTGTGAAAACTTTTTATTGCCTTTTTACATTACAACAATGGTCTCATACAGTATTTGTCCTCTTGAGATTAACTCATTTCTTGCAGCATAATGTCCTCCAGGTTTAGCCATGTTATGAGATCTTTTGCAGATTGCTGCTTTTTAATGTTGCACACTGAGTTCCACTCAGTGCATGGACCACTTCCACTGTTGCTGCCACATCAGCCTGCTGGTCCAGTCTCCAGAGGCAGACAGGCTGTACTTCCTAAAAATGCAAACCTCCTCACATCTTGCTTAAAACCTCCCAGCTTTCACGAGTGGTGCCCCAGGTTTAAGAGAAAACAATTTCAACCCTGATTTTACTCCTTCCTTGTCGTGGGATCCTGGGAAAGTCTTCTCACTCCTCGGAGCTTCAGTTTCCTTATGTGCCAGATAGTGGTGATAACAGTAACTTTGGTAGGGTCATGGTGGATTAAAATTCAAAACCCACTGCTGTGTAATCAATCCTACTCATAGCAACCCTATAGGACAGCGTAGAACTGCCCACCGGGTTTCCAAGGCTGTAAATCTTTACGGAACTAGACCACCATATAATTCTCCTGCAGAGGGTCCGGTAGGTTTCAAACTACCGACCTATTGGTTAGCAACTGAGTGCTTTAACCACTGAGCCACCAGGGCTCCTACAGAGGACTTAATAAGTTATTATATAGCACCTACTCCGTGACAAGCCCTGTTCTAAATTCTTTAGTTCTATTAACCATTTTAAGTAGTCTGGTGGCGGAATGCCTAACGCATGTGGCTGCTCACCAAAAGGTCAGCGTTCCAACCCACCAAACGCTCAGCGAGGGAAAGATGAAGCAGTCTGTTTCCGTAAGGATTTACAGCCTTGGAAACCCTATATGGCAGTTCTATTCTGCCCCATATGGTCGCTATGAGTCGGAATCTACTCGATGGCAGTGGGTATCCACCATTTTAATCCTCACAGCAATCTGATTTAAAAAAAAAAAAAAGGCTCATCCCTAAAGCTACCAGTTCAACAGCAAAGCAGTGACTCACCGAATGCGCCGACAAGCAAACCCACCCTGGGCACTGCCTCAGAGTTCAGAGCTGAGGGCGGAGCCTCTCCGAGGGCGCAGGAGCACAGGGCGGACTACAAATCCCAATAGGCTCCGCGCCGCCGATGAACTACAACAGCCAGCATGCTTCTGACCGTGCCGCTTAACCTCTTCTGTGAGGTAGGCTGTCTTCTGAAACTAGGTAGTACGATGTTCTGCAAAGTAATTCTTTTGTCGGTTTTGCTTGCAAGAAGTCTACGAAAACCAAGGATTCTCTGCAAGTAGCCATTTATGATCTTCGTGGATAAGAAGCTTGTGTTTTAAATCTCACTTGCCCACCTTTTAGCGCTGAATCTCAATTTTCTGATCTCTAAAAATAAGGCCATACCTGGGAGTTGCCACATCGAGTCATTGTGAGGAATAAAAGCTGAATATAATGGCGTGAAAAATATTACTCTTCTCGTGGCCCTTCCTCCTCCCTGGCCAACGGGTTTTATCAGCACATTTTATTTCTACAGCAACCCTATGAGGTCGATACTATTATCCCCCATTTCACATCGTAAAACTGGTGTCACACAGCAGAGTGGTGAAGGACTCGGGCAGTTTCACTCGAAGTGAGCTCCCCTTAGGAGCCCAAATGTTTCCATTCCCTACTAAAATCCCACTATCTCTCAAAAGTCTAAAGGCAAATATTTTCTGTGCTCCCCAAGGCAGGCTTGAGTCACATGGTACGTGGATACCAGTCAAGTCGTAAGGCTTGTAGCTAGTGTTGGGAAGGAGACACACCTGGCACTCTCAGAGCTGATGATAGCTGAATTTGACCTGGTTGGAGGAATCAGGAAGGTTTCCCTGAGTGGGTGATGCCAGATGTGAGAACTGAAGAGTGGGAATAGCACAGGCAAAGAGCCCTGAGGAAAGAGAAGACATGTGTTCCAAAACCAAAACCAAACTCACTGCTGTGGAGTCGGATCTGACGCATAGTGACCCTCCTTGGGTTTCCCAGGCAGTATCACTACAAAAGTAGATTGCCTAGTCTTCCTTCTGAGGAGTGGCTGGTGGGTTTGAACCACCAGCCTTCTGGTTAGTAGTCAAATGTCTTAGGCACTATGCCACCAGAGCTCACTATTGTGTTCCAGAGACCTCCAAAAGGACCAGTATAGCCGGAGAGGGGCAGCGAGACTCAGGTGTAGGCAGAGCTAGGGCGAGGGCAAGGGGAGTGAGGAGCCTAGGGTGCAAATTTTGAAGCACTCATTGTCAGCATCATGCAAGCGCAGGGTCAAGACTTGAGAGAAAGACCTTCCTCCAATTTGGCACCCTAGGCTCTTCACTAGGGGCTGTGGTAGCGTAGTGCCTAAGGCACTTGACTGCTAACCAGAGACTGGCGGTTCACACCCACCAGCCATTCCTCAGAAGGAAGGTTGAGCAATCTACTTCCATAGTGATACTGCCTCGGAAACCCAAGGAGGGGTCACTATGAGTCGGGTCTGACTCGACGGCACATAACAACAACAACAACATCATAGTTATGAGGAGAGCAGAAATGTAATTTTCTAGTTATCTGCTTACTTGCTCTCTGTCTCTGACTAGAAAGTAATCCCCTTGAGAGTACTGACCTTCTTCAGGGACGTATATCCATCCTCAGTGTCTAGCAAGGCACCTGACACGTACTTACTGCCGTAGAGTCGAACCCAACTCATAGCGACCCTTCCTTGGGTTTCCAAGGCGGTTGAGGCAGTATCACTATGGAAGTAGATCGCCTAACTTTCCTTCCGAGGAGTGGCTGGTGGGTTTGAACCGCCAGCCTTCTGGTTAGCAGTCAAATGCCTTCTTGTTGTTGTTGTTATGTGCCCTCGAGTCAAACCTGACTCATAGCGACCCCTCCTTGGGTTTCCGAGGCAGTATCACTACGGAAGTAGGATTGCCCAACCTTCCTTCCAAGGAGTGACTGGTGGGTTTGAACCGCCAGCCATCTGGTTAGCAGGCAAGTGTACCAGAGCTCCCTCAAATGCCTTAGAGACTATGCTACCTGGGTGCTTATTAATACGGTGAGGATCTCTGATAGCACAGTGGTTGAAGCACTACTGCTAACCAGAAGGTTGGCAGTTGGAACCCTCTAGCCAATTCCCAGTATAAAGATGAGACAGTCTGCTTCAGTAATGATTTACAGCCTTGGAAACCCCATGGGAGCTCTGGTGGCATAGTGCCTAAGGTATTTGATGGCTAACCAGAAGGCTGGCAGTTCAAACTCACCATCCACTCCTCAGAAGGCAGATTGGGTAATCTACTTCCATAGAGATACTGGCTCGGAAACCCAACGAGGGGTCGTTATGAGTTGGGACAGACTCGACAGCAGTGAGTTTGGTTTTTTTGTTTTTATTTTTGGAAGCCCTATGGGACATTTCTACTCTATCCAATAGGGTCACTATGAGTCTAAATCAAGTGGATGGCAGTGAGTTTGGTCTTTTGTTTTTATTAATATTGTTTGAATGGATGGAGAGAGAAGTGAATGCTTTCCCTGCCAATTCAGTGCTCCCTAAAAAATCACTTGGCTTTAGCTGTCCCTGTAGAAGCCTCCTCTGGCCTGGAAGCGTCAACCCTGGCAGCAGATTTGGCCTGGGTTCACATTCTGACTCAACAAGTCGGAATTAGTTTAGATAAATCGCTTAAGGTCTCTCAGCTTTATTTTTTACATTAATCCCGAGAGATGTTGTAAGCATCCAATGAGTTAAGAAAATGTTTGAAGAGAAATAGGTGCTAACTTTTTTCTCTCCTTTTTCAAACCAAGTTACTTTCATTAGTAAAAAGAACACCTCTTTGTTAGTCTGAGCAGGGTTCCAGACTAGGCCAGGAAAGGTCATTTGTAGGATTTATATATATACAAATTTTTTTATTCTGAGTTGGGTGCAAATTTACAAAGCACATTTGCTTTATTCTCAACAGTTCATGCATATTGGGTTTCACAGCCCCAATTACAATCCCCAACCATAAAAAGCTCTCTTCCCCTCCCATCTCTTCCCGAAGACTACCCCTTCCCTGTGTCCTTGTCATCTATGCATTCCTGTCTGTCCAGCTTCTCCTCTAAGTGAATGCTGCCTTTCTGACGTCTTATGGTTGATTGATCCAAGGAGTGCATTTTCCTAGGGTAGGTGGGTACATCTCCCTGGGGTAGCTGTTCTGCTTGTATAGGCGCTAACTTTTGTTTTAAAGCTTTTTTCTTCTTTCACGACGCCCCTCCCAAGTCTATCAACCTTGCCCTTCTCCCTAAGCTTCTCAATATTTGCATCGCACCAGCGCTTTAAGGATTTGCAAGTCCCCAGGCCCTCCGCAAGCAAATATTTCCTTAGTGCCTAAGGCATTTTTCACTGCTAACCAGAAGATTGGCGGTTCAAACCCACCAAATACTCTGCGGAAGGAAGACTGGGCAATTTACTTCTGTAAAAATGTATCACCTCGGAAACCAAAAGGGGGTCGCTATGAGTCTGAATGGACTGAATGACAGAGAGTTTTTTAAATGGAAATGGAGAAAAAAAAATTTCCCCTGCATAAGGTCGCGCGGGCCGAGGAGCCGGCGTCAGCGGCAGAGCCTGCGCATGCGCGCACGCCTGCGCATAAGGGCCAGGGAATGGGTTGGGGGGGTGAAGAAGGGGCTGGCCTTCGAGCGACAGCGACGCAAGATGGCAGCCACCACGGGCTCGGGTGAGCTGGGGCGCCGGGCCCGGCTGGCCGAGGGTGCGGGGGCTCGGGCCGGAACTGAGGACCCGCGAGGCCCTAGCAGCGGGGCTAGGATCTCTGCGCTGCCTCGGTCCGCCGGGCTCCGCGGCGGTGAACCGGACGGTCTAAGGGGGAGGAGGAGCAGGCGGTGGCCGGAAACACGGGCGGGGGCCTGAGGGGCCTGTGGGCGGCGCGGCCAGGCCCAGAAGCTCTACCGGGCGGCGTGAGGCGCCCGCTGAGGAGACGGCCTGGGCCCCGCCGCGCTCCTGAGGGTTTGCGACAGGCAAACCCTAAAAGCATTGCTGAGTATGCCGAGACTGGCAGCCCTTGAGAGAGCTAGCGAGCAAGGTGTTCCCTAGGGGATAAGGAGGCGCCCCAGAGCGAGCGGAAGTCCCGCACTAGGTGCTGGGGGTCCGAGTGAGGGTGGAGCCTTGGGATGTCTCTTTGGGGTGGACATCAGAAAAGTCTCTCAGGATGGATGGGAGGAGGGAATAGGTTCCTGAGGGGGTGACTGAGGGCATCCCCTGTCGGCTGGGGGGCGGCTTTGGCGTCAGTTTTGGGTGTAGGACTAGCGGAGGAAATCTTCGTGTTGATTAGGAGAGCGAGCCTTGAGTCGGTTGCTTTTGGGGGCGATTAAGGCCCTCGCTACAGGATGAGAGCGGAGTCAGATTTCGGAGGGATCTCGTTGAGGCGACTCATAGGAAATGGCCCATCATTATCAGACCCCTATTTGAGGAGACATATGGGTTCCTCCTGGTTAGAATTTAGGAGGTAAGCTCTGAGTTGGGGCCTCCAACAGTGGCTCAGGGAGAACAGGTAACTTGGGAGCTCTGGGATGCCCGCCTGGGGGGTTGACAGATGAGGGCAGCACCTGAAGCTGGAGCGAGTGGGAAAAGGTCGGGTTCCAGAGATGTTTGCTTTCGAAAACAAAAATCTTCTCTTCCTGTCGGGATGAGGGCAGTGTACCCTGGAAGTGTCGGTTTTGTGGAGATTGTACATCACTCCCACCCCCTTGGATATTGGGGACAGCTATATGGGTTCAGTTTGGAAGTTGGCTGGAGGTAGGAGTGGGGAGGGGAGCAAATGAAATGGGAAATCTGGGGTGGCTATTCCAGGAAGGGAGGCTGAGTAAACCCCTGTTTCTTCTGGATGGACCGGAAGGAAATAAGGGGCTACACTTTGCGAGTGGAACAAAATTGTGTTAGTCCCCAGGTAGGTCAAAGGAAGGAGCATTTATTTTGTAACTGGGTTCCCTACTCTACACCCCTAAGATGGACTAGAGGGTCAGAGCCTGGAGGGTCTTTTTCAGGGTTAGTGTGAGGTAGGGATTGGCTAGGGAAGATTCTCCAGAGGCAAGAGGATCACATTGTGGAAGTGCAGGGTTTAGGGGAGACTGAGTGTCCCCCTTTTGGTGAGGAGGCTGTACCCTGAGGTGCCTGGTGGTAGAGTTGTCCAAGGCGGTTCTCAGATGGGGTGAGAATGGAAGGCCCCCGATGAAGGAGGGCTACAATGGCGAAGGATAGAGACCTGTAGCCTGGGTACCAAAATCCTCAGGATGTTTAGGTTAGCAGCAACAGTAGTGTTGGGAAAGGGTTAGTGACCTGAGTAGAACAGGGTGGAGGGAGTCTATATTTCCTTGATGTCGCTCTTCTCTCAAGCACCTCTAGTATCCCAGGAAGTCATCCCTGTCTGATTGTTAGGGTGGGGAATAGAACGAATTGGATGGTGAGGATCTAACTGGAGTGACCTAGCACAAGCTGCCTTTGACAGGTAAAGTACTGGGGGCTTCCTGGAGGATAGAGGACACCGCATTCTTTCTTAGATTTGGTTTCAGTTTGAATAGTACTGAGTCAATTTGTTTACCTACGTACTGCCACAGACACTCCCAGAAGAGAGAGGCTGGGGCAGGTAAGACAGCTGTGAGAAACTTCCCATGAGAGTAACACCCCTGCCAGGTTGCTATGAACTGGGGTACGATGGTGCCTGTGGCAGCCAGCATTATGGTGGTATCACAACCCAGCCCTGTTGGCAATCGCTGGGGAGTTAGGCTTCCTACAATCCGGTTTAACAGCTACTTAATTCGAACTTCTTGAGGCCCTGCCAGTTGAAGAGTGCTTCATGAATGCTGCGTCAGCCAGATGAAACTTTGTCAGCTGCTGTCTAGGGGAATACAGGAGCACTTGATGTGGCCTAGAGAACATAGAACAGGTTTGGAGATGCCCTAAAATGAGCTTCTCATACCCTGTTGTCTATCTATCCAACAGATATTTACTGAGGGCCTGTTATGTCCCCTTGTGAGCAGTGACCAACATGAGCATAGTTCCTGTCTTTAAGGAGCTTCCGTTCTAGTGGGGCAGAAGGCCATTAGAAGTGAGGAAAATGTCTCCGCTGTAAGTGCTGTGAAGGGAGTTGTGTCATGTGATAGAGGGTATCTAGAGAGGTGGTTAGGGAGGCTGCCCTTTGAACTGAGACAGTGGTTGAAGAAGCCAACCCTACAGAATATGTCACAGGTAGGGAAGGGGGTCCAAAGGCCCTGTGGTGGGATCAAACTTGACATGAAGGAAAAGCAAAATAAAAGGCTATAGTGTACAAGGGAGGCTTGCTAAGGAGATGAGTTGGAGAGAGTGAGGGAAAGCCATCAAACAGGACCTGGTACAAAGTAGACAGTTAGCAAATATTTATTGAATGAAAGAATCTTACAAAGCAGAAGTGCACCAGGATCTGACCTGTGGCCCTACGCAATGAAAGGAGAGCAGAGTCTTAAGAGTGGAAGCAGAAAGACTTAAGGAAAGGAAAATGAATATAGAAACTGCTTGCTTTTTTTGGGGGGGCGGGGTGACCCTCTGTTTTATTTCAGGTATGGTCGGGGCCCTGAGACCTTCCTTAGTCAGGTTTAGAGTGAGCCTCCTGATTAGTCTCTGCTTGCCAGGAAACAGCTGTGAAGCCTTTGAATTCCTGTAAAGGCTGACCTTAGTTTTTTATGGTCGCTGCTTTCAGCACTTGGCTGTGCAGCATCTTCCCATCACCTGTGGTTCTAGGGATGTGATTTCTGCATAGATCTAGAGGGCTGAACTGTGAAAAGCCCACTAGAATCCCTTAGGATGCCCACACTGCTACAGGTGACTCTTCCTTCTGCCTTGGCCAGGATTGCAAAACCCCAAAAAGTGACCCTTGCCTGCTAAGCCCTTCCTCTCACCCAGCATCCCTTGGGCTTCCCTGACAACCAGACACCTAGTACTGGAAGGGTAACTCCCGATTGGGCATGCTTTAAAATTTGCATGTGTCAGAGTGGCCTCATACAGCATTCAGCTTATAGCAGCTACATGGGTGGAGGGGTTAAGTCCTTCTCTGTTCCATTCCACTCCAGGGTGTTCCCCAGAGACAGCTGGAGATGGGAGAGGAGACACTGTAGTCCCTTAGCTGGTCTCAGTTCCCATGTGTCTCACAACATGAGCATCTTGCCATGCCAGATGTAGTTAAGGGCGTTTTTGTTTGTTGTTTTGTTTTAAAAACAACACGAGCCCTACATTCAATAGAACTGCTTCATATCATGCTCAGCTTAAGAAGTAGCAGTCTGCTCTATGATAAAAGGGGTCCCTGAGTGGTGTGGGTGGTTCAGTGCTCAACTACAAGCTGAAAGGTCGGCTGTTCAGACCCACCCACAGGCACCTCAGGAGCTGGTCCTGGCCATCAGTTTTCCAAAAGGACACAGCCTTGAAAACTCCACACCGTTTGCCGCACCTGGAGTCACTGCTTCACACAGCTAACAACAACTGATGGTGGAGAAGGGTTGACTTGGTTGGGCTAGGACAACCTAGGGTTCTTCTTTGGAGCTGCCAAAGTTCATTTTCCCCTTTCCATTAACTTTAAACCCCCTGCCACATTCTCTCTCTTTTTTTCCCTCTCCCTCCTCCTTTCTTCCCTTCCCCTTTTCTGTCTTCCTCTCCCCTCCCTCTCTGCCCCCTGAATTTTAGTTCTACAGTCTCAGTAAACGTGGAATGCAAAATGCGAAGTCAGAAAGGCTATGTAATTCTGGAAGTCCTCCGTGAAGTACAGGGCAGTGCAGGTGGTGGAGTAAATATCTCAGGACTGTTTTTTCTCATGTATAATGCTTTGACGTTTTCCACGCACCTTGACTTGTCTGTATAGCATCACATCTCCACAACCGAGTGAGCTAACTAAGCAAAGTGTTGTCAGCACAGTGTGACTGAGAGAAGAGCTAGAAGCTGAGAGAGATTGGTGGCTGGCTCAGAAGTGGTGATAAGTGGTGACATTCAGGTTTTGATTCCAGTTCCCTCCCCAGCCCGCTACAGTGCTTTAGAAGGGAAAGGGAAAAGGCGTGGGTTGCGGCATATGCTGGTCTAGACCATTTAATGTGGGTGAGGAAAAGGACTTTAAAGAGAAGCACCTGCCACCTGTTGCAGGACCCTTTTTATATTCCCTGGCCGCTGTTTATCCCTTTCTGGATAACGCACAGGCCAACGAGAGTGAGGTCCATTTTTTAAGGAAAACCTTGTTTATACCTTATACTGGATAACTCCCATCCATTGGACTTAGGGCCTCCGTATGTCATGTCAGAGTAGCTCTTCATCTTCTACATGCAAATGCGAACCCTTCAGACTTCTTTTTAAGCTGCACTTATGAAGTCTTAATATGTGCTAAACGTAATTAAATGCATTATCTCACTCTTGACAGCAGTAGATACTTTTGTGGCAGGTGTCTGTTGAAGATGAGGAAACTGAGGCTCAGTCATTGAGTTTCAAAGCCGGGATGCAGAACCAGGACAGTTTTGCTCCAGGACGCATGCTCTTTGCCACATTATCCTTCTTCCAGCCCCCATTGCTTGTTCTCCAGGCTGTACTTCTCAAGTTCCTTCAACCATTGGCATGTCTTTCTTAGTAGAAGGGAAGTTAGTTAATTCATGGGTACATTAGTAGTGACTCTCAAGTAGGAGTCTTTCTCTTACCCCAAAATATATACCGAAT